ATTCAACCATATTCAGGGGGTGACTCGTCTGCTCAAAAAACCCTCACTTGACCTTGCTCAAGTTGAGAAGTATCGACTGGTCTTACTACTTTCATACAAGTGTATCAAAAGGGGGGTTTTCAAGCAGGTCTCAGAATTCCTCTCAAGGAATGACCTCCTTGATCTAAATCGGTCAGGCCATAAGAGGGGCCACTCCACTGAAACGGCTCTGTTGTCTGTGACAGCATCCCTCAAGGCAGCTGGAGCTGCAGCTCAGTCCTCTGTTCGTATCTTGCTTGACCTAATGGTATCCTTTGATACAGTGAACCGCCAAATCCTGCTATCCGTCCTCTCCGACATGGGCATCTTGGGCAAAGTGCTTTCTTGGTTTGAAACCTATCTCACTGGGCAGTCCTTCAGTGTGCCATGACAAGGACAAACATCCTTATCCAATTTGCTTCCCACAGGAGTGTCCCAAGGATTGATACTTAGACCCTTACTTTTTTTTCAATTTACACTACCTCCTTGGGTCCAATTATCCACTTGCATGGCTTCTCATATCACTGCTATGCAGACAACACCCAACTCTACCTGTTGTTCCCGCCAGACAATCCCATGGTCTCTGCACGGATTTTGGCTTGTCTCTCAAATATCCACATGGATGAAGGAACACTACCTTCAACTAAACCTCTCTCAGACTGAAGTCTTACTTATCCCAGTCAATCGCTCTCTCTATAACAATATCAATATCAAAATCGCCTCTTCATCTCAAACCTACACCAAGGTTACGAGAAACCTGGGAGTCATGTTTAGTGATGAGCTATCTTCACTGATCAGGTTTCATCCATCTTTCAGTCATGTCGCTTTGTCTATGCAACATAAGAAAAATCAGCTCTTACCTTACTCAGCATTCTACCCATCTCTTGGTCCAGGCCATGGGTATCTCTTGCCTGGACTACTGCAATGCCCTTCTGGCGACCTCCCATCACCTACAGTGAAACCATCTTTGATTAACCAAAAAGGGCACGTCACACCGCATCATTGACCTACACTGGCCACCCATGGCAGACCCAAATCAAATTCAAGTCACTAATACTTGCCTTCAGAGTGACTTCTGGGTCTGCACCCAACTACTTAAACTCAATCATACAGGCTTATGCTCTCTTTCATCCCCCACATTCCTCTAAGGAATGTTGTCTGGCATTGTCTTCTCTGCACACAAGGCAATCACAGCCTGTTCTCTTCTGTGATTCCACAATGGTGGAATAAGCTACTGAATGCTATCGGAGCAGCAGCATCCCTATCATAAGAATCTCTTGAAGATTCATTTCTTCTGAGAGCACCTCCTCTCCTAACACGTCCAACACGCTACCATGCCTAACTTGCACTTACTATGCACTTTTGGTGAACTTCTTTACCTGATTTCCTCGCACTTATTTAACAGATGTAGTGCTTAGTACTTACACCAAGGCCTCTTACTACACTGAAGCATTAGTGTTGTCCCTTACTTGTAAGTTGCAGATAAAAGCGTCTACCAAATGAGTAAATATAAATGTAAGTTAATGTAAAGACTTTCTCCTAGTGTTTAACCTTCTCTTCTGAGCACTACGAACACTGGGACTTGAGCTGTGTGTGGACATTAATACTGGTCATGGTGTGAAATTAAGATTAGTGATTTTGCTGGGGTATAGGGATTCAACGTTTTGGCAATACAGAAATGTCTGTTGAATATACTGGAAATACAGAGTAAGACCTTTACAACCATACTACCTATTAGCTAATAATGGTTTCGGTTTTTGAAAGTGAATTTCTCACCTCTCTTTCCTCCCCCAGGTGCAGACCACCACCATGTGCATCTCTGTCAGTCTGAGTGGGTCGGTGGTGCTGGGCTGCCTCTTCGCTCCCAAGGTCCACATCATCCTGTTTCAGCCACAGAAGAATGTCAGCACCCTCAGGGTGGCTACCACCCGCTTCAGCGTCACCACTGGCCCAGGCTCCAGTTTCTCTCAAGGTAACACCTGATACACAAAAACAAAGATAGTTACTCAAAACAGTAACACATTACCAATAACATAAATGATATATGATGTTATTATATTATTTGTAACTACTTTATCAGTATGTGTCCACCTTTAAGTCGCACCTCTAACACTGACTGTTGTATTTTCTTACCTTTTTCAAAATCATGCATGGTTCAGATCAGGGAAAACAGTTTGTCCAATGTTCTTTCATTGTTCCATTGTATTAAAATAATAAACCTTTCTGTTATTTCTGTAGAGGACAGAGGGCACCCACAGTTATATCTGGATAAGTAATTAAAAATGTAATACTAACACATACACACATAACTGCAAAACACTGAATTTCACCTAATTTCACATAGTTCAATACTTGATTATCATACAGCTAATTCATCTGTGAGTACATGGTCCTCTGGGCCGTTTACAGTACAGTAGCTCATTGGAAAAGGTATGGGACATGTGGTATATGTTTTTTTGCAATTCAAGAGAACTTAACTTTTTTTTTCTTGTTTAATGTTTTGTAGCATCAGCATCCAATGTTGTTCCAACAGTGTGTAACGGACGAGAGGTGGTGGACTCCACAACGTCCTCCTTGTGAAGATCAACTGAGTTCCTTTGCCAAGCATTGTAAACAGAGTTATATAATCACTAGTCCTGAATCAGGTGTCTCCGATATTAAAGAGGTCACACAGACGATTGTCCTGACTTAGTTGTCCTCAAAGTGCTGTGAGTACAATGTCCCAATTATTTTATTTTGTTCTTTGACTCGTAGCGATTTTAAATGAGATGCCAATAAAGTCGCATATAGCCCTTGTTTTTATTGAAGATTCTACTTGCAACAATGAAGTAAATTATAGTAAATCTGTTAAATGTAATATATACAAGACGTTTTTAATGTAGATTTTGGTGAACCAGTTTGTGCTTTCTTGTAATTTATGTAAATAAAATGTGTTTTTTATTAATACCAAAATGACTTGTAGTCAGACTATTTCTTTGCACATGATCATGATAGACAGTATATTCCAGAGGACAATATATGCAAAAAGACTGAGATTTTAACCTGCACAAGTCTGGCAAACATGCTGTCATAATACATTGTTTCATGTCATGTACCCCCTTGCCACTTTTAAACCTTATTGAACAAAGCACTTTGTTCTTCTTTACTTTGCTGCCATGCAAGGTGGCAGCCTGGCCCCTGCAATCAATTTCGAGTTCAGGTTCTTGGTCATGGGTGCTGCATCATGTGGACAGAGGGAGCCAGGGATTGAATCATCAACCCTATAATGAGTGGAAGTCCTGCTCTTCCTCTTGAGTCACAACCCTAAAAGAAAGCAACTTATGACTTGTATGAAAGAAGTGAGATTCAGGTAGTCAAGATGCTTGACTATAATTGTTCAATTTTGATTTCAGTTTGTGTTTAAAAGCTGAGCTGTCTAATATTTACCAGCTTCATCTGCGCCATCTGTCGAAACCAAACAGTCTCTACATGAAAATTACCAACTCAAATATCATCATCTGCTGATATGGGATAAAATCCACCAAAGCTGTCCTAGGAATACACACAGCAGTCAGTACTCCTGTGTACATGAAGCAGATGCTTTGGAAAATAGACCCATACAGGATCCATGACTTAACACTGCCATCTTGTGTCCACATCATTTGATCTAATCTTGTCCATTGCAACATGTAGGCAGCCCTGGGGCTTGCTGTAAATAGAGTATTTGCATATGGAGGAAGTGGCCTGATAATCAGTGTACTGTCTTACATTATTAGATCTGCTCTGTGGCCATAATCAAATTACTATTATATAAACCAGGTACAGCATGCACTGCAACAGCTCCTAGATGTGGAGGTGCGAGTAGGCATGTCAACATGTGTGTAGAGGTTAAAGAAAGAGCCCCACCATATTAAGCTGAATATTTACAGACATAATTATGAGAAAATACAGTGTTGTCTTTGGGCAAAATATCTGATCACCAATCTTTATTGTGGTTGTATGACACAGTTGGTAGCAGCAAATCCACCGTGTGCACAGGGAGAATGGGTTGTCAAGAACAAGCACAGGACAATGGGAATTGTTGCCAACAACACCACATACGGTACCACTGTCTAAGATATGTACACCAAGAGACACTATATCCACATATATTAATATCTGTATGTATTTTATTTTATATAACATTATTAACTACTTTATATACAGTTTTGCATACAGGGATGGTTGGTTGATGGTTAGCTGGAGAGGAGAGAAGAAAAAAAACAGTTCTGAGGACTTTTTCTCAGATTTTTGAGAGTTCAGTTCAGCTACTGAAGCTGCCAAATAAATGTAGTGGAGCAGAAAGTACAATATTTCCCCCTGAAATGTAATGGAGTGGAAGTATAAAATAGCCTAGCATAAAAATGGAAATACTTAAGTAAAATGCAAGTAGCCTACCTCAGCAGTGTACTAAAGTACGCTACAGTACTTGAGTAAATATACTTAGGTATTTCAACCACTACACAACCGTGAAGCTACATGTTTTAAGATGTCAACTTAACAAAGCACAGTGGTTGTTGTGAACTGTGGAAAGGATCAAATTTCTGTCCATTAGAAGCAACGTAACTGAACCGTTATAGAAATATATTATACCTATATTAGTGGTGGGTTATTAGTGAGCCTCATTTATAAGCCTGTTTTGTTTGACGTGGCTCTCCTTATTTCAGTTTTGAATGTTGTGGGAGGCAGAGGACAATATACATAGGTACATACGGGTGATGGCTCGAAGTCTGTTTCCCCATCGACGTGTAACCTCATCACAACCCTAACCAACGGGGAAGGAGGGTGGGCACCTCCAGGAAACGGGGTTAACGGAGGCAAACAAACACTATTTGATGGGCTTAAAACTGGACTTGGGTAGGTGGCAGTGTTGCTGATACCTAGCTGGAGAAAGGGAAGAATACAGTTGAGCTCCGCCTCTTCCTCTCGCTGTAAAGTGATTGTAAACTTCCTGGAAATCAGAATCCAAGTCAGCTGTCTTCAGTCTGTTGCTCCAGCAGCGGGGAGGAGAAGCTGTGTTTCTGACTGCTTTTTTCTGACACCGTTAAAATTAAAAAGGTGAGGTCTGCAGCTGCTGATGGAAATTCACTATCCGTCTTCCGGATAAACTGGGGAGGGCGGAGGTTGCCTTGGTTGCCTTGTTCCAAAACACATAATACTGTTGCAAAATGTGTGGATTGCTATTACTTTATACAGTAGCAGACTGTTAAGTACTTAGTAACTACATAAATGGAGAATTCGTTCATTTTGATGAACAGCCAGAGAGCGCTAGCTGGCGAATATGGGCATGCCTGAGCTTGTCCAGGCATCATGCCGAGTGACCAACGTGACCAGTGACCAAAGTTTCTGTGCATGGTTTTCAGCAGGGAGCATGGCACCAAAGAGAAGGGCTGCTTCAGCTGCCAAGGCGGGTGGCAAGAAGGTCAAGGCGGAGCCAAAGACACCAAAGCCCAAGGATGCCTTCGCTTCTGCTAAAGAGGCCCTTTTGGCTGCAGGGCCACAGGTAAAAGGCAAGAGAAAGGTGGACGAGCAATGCTCACTGTCAAGCTCTGGAGAGGTAAGAAAGATGCTTTGCAATGTTAGGTATCCTCAAAGTATTCATTCATATGTATATCAAGGGGAATTACTGAATTTTATGCAACCTTATTTAAAGTGTGAAAATTGTTCTGTATTGCCTCCACAGGTATATGAGGACTATGACTGCATGCTCAATCAGACAAACGTTGGACATAACAATAATAAGTTTTATGTCATTCAAGTTATTAAAGCAAACAACAAATACCATACATGGAACAGATGGGGTAGAGTGGTAAGTTTGTCCTGCCACAGATTCCTACTAAACTACCTTTGTTACTTCATTTTGTTTGTATTTTTCAATTCTTAAATATTAGAAACCCTTGCACTTTTTCAGTGGGATGAAAACATCTGGGACATGTTTCCTTATATTTTATTGTATATGTATTCTGCATGTTCAAAAGGGCTTCCTTCTTCAGTAGATCCTTAGTGAGTTCAAATAATTACAGAACATGTTAATGTGAACATGACTGGTGATGTGGTGATAATGTCTGGATAAATTGCCTCTGATTGCCTCATCTCTAATCTGAATTCAGGGGGAAGTGGGACAGTCCAAACTTAACACGTTTGATAAGGCTGAGAATGCCGTCAAGGACTTTGAGAAAAAGTTTAAAGACAAGACAAAGAACAACTGGAGCGACCGGATGACTTTTGTGTCTCACCCTGGGAAGTACACTCTGATTGAGGTGGATGGAGAGCAGGATGCTGAGGTCAAGGTAATGTAAATATAAATCTCCCTGGAACAAGGAGTGTGAATATGAATCCATAAATCATAGGAATTATCAGAATTAGAAATGAGTAGAATCAGTTACCACTACCCGTGACAGACTTCATCAAAGAAATTGATGAAAAATTAGCAAAATCTCACAGTACGCCTGTCTGATATTGCAGGTGGACAGTGTTGATGGAACGACTGTCAAAGTCACAAAAAATGTCCTGCCTTGCACCCTTGACAACGCTACAGAACACCTCATCGAACTCATTTTCAGCAATGACATGTTCAAGGAGGCGATGGAATGTATGAACTTAGGTGGGTGTGTTTCACTGTGCTTACCCTTTAATACAAACCAGTTCATGTAGTCTGCAGTTCAGTGTGCATAAGTACCTGTCTTGTAACATGCCAGTTGGGGAGGAGTAAATGTTGCACTGAACATGGTGCTAATCTCCAAGCTTTTTGTGCTTTTTTTTTGTGTTACAGGCAAATAACGTCTCCATTGCCACAAAGGGCAAAGCCTTCATTTACATAACACATCACCTTATCTAAGCATTTTGAACGTATCTAATCAATGTCTTGGGCTTTGCTTACACAATCCTTATGATGACACGTTTGTTTTCTTACATCTGGAAGTAGCTGAAGAAACAGAAACAGTGAAGAAACAGTGTGCAGTGTTAGGGAAAATACACTGTGCAACACGCCTTTTCCTGGCAAAAACAAAGAAAACATACTGGTGTGGTTGGGATTTATATTTTTGTGTGCATGTATGTGGCTGTTATCCAGACATCAAGAAGATGCCTTTGGGCAAGCTCAGCAAGGTGCAGATTGCAAAGGGCTTTGATGTGTTGGAGGAGATTGAGGCAGCCATGAACCTAAAAAGTGGACGAGCACGTCTGGAAGAACTTTCCTCAAGGTTCTTCACCACAGTCCCACACAACTTTGGCCGGAACAGACCGCCAACCATCGACAACAAAGAGATTGTGGATAAGAAGAAAGAGATGCTTATGGTTAGATTTTTCTTTAGATTTGATGTTGGAGCTGTCTTTTTATGATGTTTTCTCAGCCCTAAAGTCACTCTCCTTTTTACACGCTCTATAAAGGTGCTGGCTGACATTGAGCTTGCCCAGACTCTGAAGTCAGAGACTGAGAAGGCTCAGGAAGAGATGATAGAGACAGTTCCTCATCCTCGAGACCAAGACTACAATTCTCTCATGTGCAAGCTCACTCTAATGGACAAGAAAGCAGAAACTTTCAAGGTACTGTGTCATAAGTGATAATAAGTTTCAGTAAATACAAATTCTTTGTACTGTCATGACTGATCTCAGACCATTTTCCATTCATTTTTGTCCACTAATATCAACTCTTTTTTTTTTTTGCATTTACAGATCATAGAACAATACCTGAAAGCGACTTCAGGTGACTATCGCAAACCAAAAATTATCAATGTTTGGGAAGTCGATCGAGAGACAGAGGTAAGAACCACAGTCGATCTTGTTTAATGCAACACAGAGGACTGAAGTCCTGTGACCAAACACATACATTGCACGTTACAGGGAGAGCGCTTCAGCGAGAATGATAGTTTGGAAAACCGCCGTCTGCTGTGGCATGGTACAAACATAGCTGTGGTGGCGGCTATCCTGAAGAGTGGTCTGAGGATAATGCCCCATTCAGGAGGCCGTGTTGGTTGTGGAATCTATTTTGCATCTGAAAACAGCAAGTCTGCATGTTATGGTGAGAGTGTATGAAGACAAGGATTAAAGAAGATGATAATGACATTGATTGCAATCATAATGATACTATGGTGTTTGAAACATCATGTTTTCTGCCATGTGTTTTTAGTGCGCACGTCTAAAAACACTGGAGTGATGTTTCTGAGTGAGGTAGCCCTCGGCAAAGAATATACCATCACCAAAGATAACAGTTCTCTGAAGAAGGCTCCTGCAGGCCATGACAGTGTGGTGGCAAGAGGAACAGTGGAACCAGGTACAATACTTCCTCAGTTTTATTCATTTAGTAAAGCATATTATACCGTCAAGGTCACCGCCAGTACACTGAGAGAGCCACGCCTTTTATGACTAAAAGCTTGACCAGTTGACCAGTGGTTCCACAACAGTTTTCAACTATGTCTTCAATTTAGCACATTGACCATACACAGTCCAGTCATATACTAGGTTTTGACCTAGTCTTGTTTAATTGCAGTTCATGCTCAAGATCATGTTATTTTAATAAAATTCTACTTGGCGTATTTTTTTTTTTTTTTTTTACTTATTTGCACAATATTGACACAATGAAAGCATTTGAGAACTGCTGTGTTAAATTACACCATGCAGCATCTTTTGTTTGGTAAAGTTGTGAACTGCTGTGTTTTCAGATCCCTCTAAGGACACATTCATCACCCTGGAGGGCAAGAAGATTTCTGTGCCTCAGGGTAAGCCCATACAGCAGCCCCAGTTCTCAGACAGCTATTTCAGCAACAGTGAATATCTCATCTACAAAGAGAGCCAGTGTCGCCTTCGCTACCTGCTGGAGCTGAACATGTAGCACTAATGCAACTCAGGGAAAGAGTCAGGTCCTTTGAAAGAGAAATGCTCCTTATTCCTTCTGTGTAAGGGGCTTCTTAAAAAGCTTGGCTATGCTGTTTTCTAATTAGCTAATCTAATCATTGTGTAGATGTTCCTACCATAAATGACATATACTTCTCTGTGCCTTATATTTTGCACACTGTAAAACTGGCCTGAGTTTGATGGACTATATATCCTTTATAACACATACATGACAAACTGCATTTACCTTTTCCTTTACCATGATAAAGTGGGTGTCCTTTCACTATTCTCCTTTCAGGATCTTTTATCTGATATTGGTTTTTAAACATCTAAAAGGCCTCTAAATATTTGCACTATTTTGTTTTTGAATTACATCCTGCACCTTGTGTTCTCTCTGAGTAGCTTACCTTTTAAATATTGCATTATTTAATCCAAGCAGAAATGAAAATGTAAACCTGTCCCTCAGAGATGAAAATATCTCAGATCTTTAGAAGGAATTTGTTGTATGCTGTTGCAGTTATATGGACATTTTGAGTAACAACAATGATGTTATATAGTAAAGCAGAAGTAAAAATGGTACCCTATGCACAGAAATGTTTACAGGTGGGAAGTATGAGGTTAAGTTTGTGGCTAATGTCCAAGCACTGTTATAAATCTAATATTTTGTTGGACTCTGAAGAAAGTGCTTCTGTTGTGTAAAGTAATATAATATGTAAGTCATAAAAAGCTTGGCCCGCTTTCTTGCCCAGCAGGTCTTCCAGCTACATTATGGTGATACCACATGTCACCTTATGGTGTCACTTGTGAGTAACTCCCTTTGGAATGTAATTGCCACAAACATTACTTTAACTCGGGGGTATTCAATTAAAACTGAAAGAGGTCCAGTCAGACAAATTTTACTTCAGCAAAGGTGAGTGGGTCCAAGGTGGTGGGGGGATTACAAATAATAACTTCCTTAATAACAAATGTTCTTTTCCCATTTCAAGCAAAATAAGGGCTGTAATAAGTAGTGAGTACATAACAGAGAGTGCATCTTAAAATAAAGTGCTTGACTTCAGAACGGTGAAATAAAAAGTGTGGCTTGAATTTAGCTTTTTCTCCTTTTTTGTTGACTCCATTCCACATCTTCACAATCTCAACCATTTTTCATAATAAACAATCTCAACACACCCAAATAAATAGCTTTAACACCTTCTTTTCTCTTTCTTTCCCTCGTATACCCCCCCCCCCCCCGCCCAGCTTCCCAACCACTCATTTCTCCTGACTGTTGCCTTCTGTTGTAGACTGTATATAAAATGCTCTCCTCTAGCAATGATTGGCTCTGTCAAGTTTTAATATTTCTCAATATTTTATGGGTTATAGTTCCAGGTCCGGCTTGAAACAATGATTAGTCAATAAACTAAAGTTCCCCTCCAACTTGTTGCAGTCTTTTTCTCTTTGGATGTTGAGCGTTAAGACTTTCCAGTCATAGATCAGTCACTGTCCACTATTTATGTGTTTCATGTAAGGAAATGATTTATCTTGCAGGATGACATTTGACAAAAAAGTAATATAATTAATTAGCATCATAGTAATACAGTATGTGGAGAAAACAACAGTGATGGTAGTGTGTGAATATGTTAAGTATTTTCATATTCTGTATTAACATCCTGTGTAGTCAATTGGAAATGTATGTGATTAAATAATCCTGTTTGCAGTATCAGTTTTGCGTTACAATATAAGAAAGTATTCAGTACCTTACGTTAACTGGGTTATGAGTACGAAGTAACTAAGTACACTTTAGTAAGTATTGTACTCAATACAGTGCTGAGGTACTTGCACTTTACTTTCCAGTAGTATTTCCATCTGATACTACATGTCAGGCAAGTAACATTTTTATTCCAGATTAAGTTTTCACATACAGAAATTCAAAATATTTGATAAAATAGGATGCCTGTTATAGACTCCTCACCAGTCAACAATAGTAAAATGTTGCATGCTTATTTGGGCCCAACTGGTAAATGTGAGTTTCCCTGTGAAACTGGTGGCAGTTAGGACCCAGGGAAGACTGGGCTCTGGAGGGGGACAGTGGAGTGTGTGTCTATTTGAAAGAAAAAAAGACACACACAATCACACACAATACAATGTGTGACAGTCACTGCCATACACAGCACAGGACAGGAAGGAGAGTGTTTCTGGAGGAGGGGTGATGCAAAAGATCAAGCATCATCTCCCATCTAAAATCATCATGGACTGATCAGTGATCAGCACTTCTTAAATTAGAGATATACATGTGTCAGGAGACTGGACATCTGGAGCCTCTACAGAAGAACCAAAATTCCGACACTGAGTTGACTGGATTTGAAGACATGGATTTTTAACTGGAGCACTGACTATTTTAGTTTTTGTAAATTACTAAACTAATTAAGCAGGGCTACCACTGGTTTGGGCTGATATAAACAATATGAGGGAATTCAATAGAAGCTTTGTCAAGTCAGACACCTGCTCAACCTGTTTGGTCTGAACTGCATCGCATAAACAGAGAGTGGATTATGGGTAAGTTATTTATTTGCATAATCAGTTTTTTTTCTTTCCTTTTTTAAATTCTGTATATATTTTTTATTTTATTTTTGGTGATCAAAAACTAAACGGAATTTTATTTATTCTTGTTATGATGGCACTGCTATTTTCTAAATACTCTAAGTCTGTTTCATATTTACTATCAGTGCACCATTGCATCTTATATATAGGACGCAGGATGAATGTCAGGCATTGATATGTTCCAAAACGATATTTTCAGCTTTTTGAAGCTGAAATTTGTCAAGCCAAATTGTCCAAACTAAACTGGTACAAATCTTGGTGGAGAATCTGCTCTGATTGCCTTGTCAGCACTTATAGAAAGGACAGACTTGTATTTTTCCAGTAGTAATGGATTTATGATATCTCAAATCAGTTTTGTTCAATCACCCAAAAAGACCTCACACACCTGCACATTTGCTTTTGTTTACTCAGAAAAGCTGTTCTTTAGTATATAATCAGTTTGTTACTCCTTGTTTATGGATTCTCCTTTCTTATATAAAGTTAGTGTCAAGTTAGTGTTTAACTGTGTCAACAAAGAGTGTTAAAGAAACAAACCTGAGTGCAGGTGGACTGTGGAAGACCCTAACTGAGATCACTGGGAGCGAACAAGGCTATTCTTTGCTTTGTTTTTCTGTAAACAGTGTTTAACTTACCCACAATTATGTCTGTTTACACCTAAAACATGGTAACTGTTGACCAAATTGACATGCTGAAATGCTCCATCATTTCAGTTAGAAATGAGCAGTTAGCATACATTTAATTGCAATATGTTCTCAATTAATTAATTTCAATTCATACATACTGTATGTTTGTATATGGGCAAAGCATATGCACATGGAAAAATTTTTAGATTCAAGTGTCGTCACTGCCTTAAATTTTTTTCTGTCTTCTTCCATTTACAGACTGTTTCTGTCTTTTCAACATAGGACATCCAGACATGAAGACATCTGACAAACAAATGGAAGAAGTTTTGAACATATAATGGCCGACAAGACTGACCCCATGATAGCCTCTGTGCCAAGTCCATCATCCATTACAAACCTCACCACTGCCCTATGGGAGCCCAATCCTACCGTGCCTGCCGATGTGAGCGTCGTCACAAGCTCCCAGTCCCAGATCAAAGACCTTTTCGGGTTATTTTGCATGGTGACCCTTAACCTCATTGCTTTGTTGGCCAACACTGGTGTGATGGTGGCCATTGCTCGTGCGCCTCACCTGAAGAGGTTTGCTTTTGTGTGTCATCTCTGTGCAGTGGACCTGCTGTGTGCCATCCTGCTCATGCCTTTGGGGATCATATCCAGCTCAGCATTCTTCGGCACTGTGGTGTTTACTGTTCTGGAGTGTCAGGTTTACATCTTTCTCAATGTGTTCCTCATCTGTCTGTCTATCCTCACTATCACAGCCATCAGTGTGGAGCGTTACTTCTATATCGTACACCCAATGCGTTATGAAGTTAAGATGACCATCAACCTCGCTATTGGTGTAATGCTCCTAATCTGGGTTAAGTCCGTCCTCTTGGCTTTGGTCACACTGTTTGGGTGGCCAGCTTATGGACATCAGAGCTCCATTGCTGCAGCTCACTGCTCTCTCCACGCGAGCCACAGTCGTTTGAGAAGAGTATTTGCTGTGCTCTTCAGTGTGGTGTGTTTCCTGGTTCCTGCAGTGGTTATCTTTGCCGTTTACTGTGCCGTTTACAAGGTGGCTCGTTCTGCAGCCCTGCAGCAAGTCCCTGCTGTGCCAACGTGGGCAAATGCGAGCCCTGCAAAGGATCGCTCTGACTCCATCAATAGCCAGACCACCATGATCACCACCACCCGCACTCTGCCCCAAAGACTATCTCCAGAGAGGGCCTTCAGTGGAGGCAAGGCTGCGCTTACTTTGGTATTCATTGTGGGCCAGTTCTTAGTTTGTTGGTTGCCCTACTTTATCTTCCATCTGCAAATGTCTCTGACTGGCTCCATGCAGAGCCCTGGGGACTTAGAAGAGGCAGTCACCTGGCTTGCTTACTCCTCCTTTGCAGTTAATCCATTCTTCTATGGCCTGTTGAACAGACAGATCAGAGAGGAGTTGGTAAAGTTTCGACGCTGCTGCTTGACCCAGCCTGTAGAGTTTGGGGCATCCAGCCACGAGGGCTCCCTTCAGGAGAACTTCCTCCAGTTCATCCAGAGAACCACGAGCACAGCTGAAACCCACTCCAACTGTGTCAACTCCAGTCCCAGAATCACTACAGATCAGGGAATAAAGATCCCTGGACAAATACCTGAGGAAAATGCTTAAACATTGACCAACATGCGCGATGGACTACAGTGCTAATATATCGGCCATGCAAATGTTTACATGTGCACCATTTTTCCTTAATGGTTCACATTACAGGTCTATCTTAAAACAATACTGACAAGCCCATTTGTACACTGAAAGGATTATTGGTTCCTCCTTATTGTTCCTCCTGTCCCTACCACCCACACAGAGGTCCCGTCTTTAAAACAGTTTCCATGTAAAACCCACAGTCATTTTTCTGTGCAAAAATCCCCACTTGATTTGAATAACTGCTGAAACCTCACATTATATTCAGATGAATTTAGGAATGTTTATTTTACTGTGGAATGTGCCCCCCATCACCTACATTGAAACTGCCTAAACAAGGTACAGTATATCTTTGTGGCCAGTGGAACCATTACAGTGACCAGTAATGCTTTTAATGTACATATGGAAATGTCGGTATTGTTTTAGGACAGACCTGGAAAAATGTGAATCTATACTTTAAATACGTGTTAAATGTTCAGTGCCTTTTACAGTTTAATTCAGAGAGGCTTTCTCATTATAGGTCAAGGTGCTATGGCTGTACTGTAACATGAAATATTGAAATAGTGATAAATGTTCTTCTATGTGTATTTTTACAATATATTACAATTGGCCTGGTTTAATGATGTTTGTAGAAATGTTTTATATGTTTATAAGTGTGTAAATGTGGAGTATAACTACATTAACAAGGTCATGATTGGATGGGTCTTTAAATGGTTTATTGTATTTAATGAGGAGCTATTTTCATTCCATATGAATATGAGTTGGTTCCACTGTGTCATTTTATTTCATGTCAATAACAATATACTGTATATGCAAATGTTATACTGATGACTGACTCTGTTGAACTTTGTAAATTATTGAATGTCAGTGTTTCCAAGCAGTAGTCCTTTATATCTGAGGAATAACAGCAGCATGGCTTGACTCCCACATTATCACTGTGTTATCCCTTCAGACAGAGCACTAACATGGTGGGCTCTGCAGTGTGGGGAGCTCTCGTGAATCTGACAATACCTCAGAGTTCCTGTGTGCAGCAGATACGCTGATAGACGGTGAATGTCATCCGCCCCTGTCGCCATGGAAATGGAGTGAGCCTGTGACTCACATAGCAATGAGGACCTTTTGACTGGATGTATTCTTAAGCTTTAGATTCTAACTGGAGTCTACTAATTCTGGTTCATGCCCGCTTTTCACATGCAGACTGATTTACACAAGGTCTACAAGTTCAGATAGACATGTGAATAGTGGCTGAGGATAGGTAGCAAAATTCCCTGCGAATATGGACTGTCTGACATGGGTACAGTGAAGCGGAGATAGTGAATTTACAATGGAAATCATTACTGGGCATTGATAATGCTCTGAGAGTGGTAACAAAGTGCTATTTTATGGCCTCTGCTGTTTGTATTAGTCTTTCACAAACAGCGGAAAAGATGGACTAGTGTGGTTACAGCAAATAACAGCAAACACCATTTTGCTGTCACTAACTAGGATATACATCACTCTTACATAACTGTGACTGTGTATTTAATACTTTGAGTTGAATTCTGCATTTGCCTTCTGACCAGTGGGATATGGAAGCTGCATAAACACACACAGCGGAGAAATATGCTGAGAGACAAATGTATGGATGTCATCCTATATATTTTTATATGTCTGTTTCTCTCTTTAATGCTTGTTTTCTCTCTTCCTTTTTTTCATTTGATTCTCTCTTTACAAAATGTAAAGCCATTAAATAATGAGAATTTCTTTACACCAACAGGACAAATTTTACATTATTAATCCAGTGGTGTCTGGATTAATAACAACTGCTGATAACATAGGGTCCTGATTTCCCAGCATGCACAATGAGATTTGAAGTAACAAACAAGCAAATGATAAAAAAACAAAAAACAAAAAAAAAAAAACAGGATTGGAACATCAACTATATCTAGATCTGGATACAGTCCATAGAAAGCTAAATATCAGAATACAAATTAGGACACATTCAAGATCACCATCATATCTGTCTCAAGAACATTTGCATCACTTCCCTTCAGGACTCGCAACATTCAGAGGTCTCTATTTTAACCCTGAATTCAGACATAATTAAAACGAACACGAGCCTGTTCTTCCAGAAACATCTGAATGGACAGGTGTGACTGTTGGAGCTCAGTGTTTTGATTTCTCCTCTCAAATTTGACCACGCTGTATGTGGGTAAGTACAAGGATTTACCTGCTTCTCTGCTGACTGATATTTAAGCCCTGACTGTGGTTTATATACATGGATCACTGAAGACACGATGAGCAAAAATCACTCACTGAGCCAGACATTTCAGAGTGCTGTTACACAAGGATCCGAATCTCATCATGCTGAACTGCTGCAAAGGGAAGAGCCCCCACTGCAAAGTCAAAAGGAGTCAAAGGCCTGATCAGGGATAAACTGGTGAAAAAACAACACAGACTAGACCTCAGATGGTAGCATATACAAACGTTGATGTCTCTTGCAGTTGGCAAGAAAATTAAAATGAAATCATGAAGTGTTGGGATGTAGCCAGCCAGTGAATGGCTGCCTGTTTAAGACGTAATCATGAAAGTGGTTTAAGGGATTTTACGTGGAAAAGAGCAAAGGACACCACCAGACAACACCAGAGGACAATCTTATTGACAAGCTCATTGATAATTAACATAATCACTGTTGTCTTTGTCTGGACCTGTGACATAGACTCTGGACAGATCCCAAGACGTTCATGATGGATGTCTGAAATACTACATCCAGCCAGAAATGATAACTGGGCATGCACACTGCATTCAGGTTTTACCTCATACAGTATTCACAATCTTTAATATGCCTCATGTTATTTGTGTAATACCAAGGCACATTCCATTGTAACAAGAAATGTGTCACCATCAATACAGTCAGATCAATTTAAGAAAAATGGAAAAATACAAATCAGAAAATTTGCAAGCATGCTTCAGTAATTTGGCTATATATATATATATATATATATATATACACTGTTGCCCATAAAGTTGGAATAATTTTGTTTTCAGACACAGTCCTCTGTTTATTCCTATTTAAATGCATCAGTAATCACTATGGAAGAGATTGCCTACTAAAGTTTTGAGAAGATATACATTTTATCTGTCAAGAATAAATCACATTGTCACAATCATTTCATGGAAAGAGGTAAAAAATATTTTATTCCAACTTTACGAGCAACAGTGTATATATCACTGTAATAAGTAACATCAAACCACCAGTGCAAACACTACATACTGTTTTCAGTAGGTGATAAATGAACTGTTAGGAGACCAGTGCTTGGGGTCTGCTGGTTTAAAAAGCCTTACCAGTCAGAATTCATTGACAAAGCCTAATCTGGATAAAGCACAACTGATGGTAGAGTACTTTTGTTTAGCCTTTATTGCCCAATCTTTTTAAAATTGGCAGGATAACTTGTTTTATTGTGATCCTTCTCTGTCTTTCAACTCATGATACAATTTTTTACTAAAATCATTATTTACCAAACCAGGAGATGTACCAGATGTAAGTCAATTAACTTCCGTTAAGCAGAGGATCTACAGACCTTAAACACAATCAGAGGACAATCGGCAGGGCTCTTCATCACCACGGTTTCCACACACACCACTAATCATCAGCTAATCAGACCCTGCCATCACCCCACTATCACTTCAGGGTTGCTGCTGGAACTGGTATAACTGCAAGCATTGGGAGAAAATTAGGTATTTGGGGGTGTGAGTGTGGAAACTGCAGTAACAATAATGGATAAAGATTTATTTACAGAAAAAAAAAGACTAGACAAACTATGGCCAACAGAGTGCGCTATATACCAGTGAATTCCCCTTCCGCCTCTTTGTTTGGACACCTCTGACAAGAAGGCTTTTCAGGAATTTTCAATGAACAAGCAGGAAATCTAAGCAGGAAAATGCAAGGGTTCAGGAGTTGACTTGGTAAAAGTAAAGCAGATGTAGTTGATGGATGAGGGCAGAATGTTTGCTGTGTGGCTGCTCTGTGATCTACACATACAGACACCTCTCACATAAGTGATGAAAGCATTCGGCAGTAACTTAAAAAACCCCCCCCAAAAAAAACAGCGCTTGGAGAAAAAAGTGAGTAATGTAATGCAACAAATGAACAGATCCATCACGCTTTTACATTGGAAACAGGACCTCACATTCACTATTTGATAAAGGCAGTGTGGATATGTAACACAAAGTGGACTATATGCACCACAAAAGATGCACAGGGCTGGATAAAGCAGGTAAGTGCCTCAAACCCCTGGTCTGTCAGAGGCGACTGAAGGCCCCAGGTTCACTTGGTTTATCATAATTTGACTGACTGCACATTTGTTTAGGAAAATGAACCACTAAAGCACAGCATCAACTGCCATCAAAAGGCCTGGATTATAGCTATTCTTTAAAAGGCTATGTCAATGTGCTTATATTAATAGTAGATCACAGGACTACTTGCATATCAAAGGGGTAGTTTACAGTGATGAACTCACAGATATTTGCCTCAGGAGTTGGTGAACTGTATATGCTTCATGTATAAATAAGAAACTGTTTGCTAACAAGTGCGTATGCACTTCAGTTCCTGTGAGAAATGTGAAGAGTGTGGAAAGGTTTGAGATTTGCTCTTGTAAGGTTATAAAAAGTGTAAGTCATACAAACTGCACTAGATAATGAATTGCACAATGTGCACATATCACACGTAGACATTTTGTCTAGTGCCACAGTAGACAGTAACACAGTAAAGTGAATACAACAGTGAGTGGGACTGCAGTCAGGACAGGCAATGTCAGTGAAAGAGCAAAGGTCCAGCTGGGATGGACAATTAGGAGGACAGCTCTTGGCAAGAAGCTGTTGATGTGCTGAACGGTCTGCTCTTATTAGACCAACACTGCCAACACTGCCCTCATGATGAGAGCACTGTGTACTCATGACAGTGGCAGAATACTCCCACTAATCATCATCATTCCTCCATATTTAAGGAGGAAGCACAGGCTGATTTTATACTATTAGCAATGGCCATTGGACATTTCTCATGTAGGTCTAAATGAGACTTTCCTTGTAGTATGTCACATGGAAAATGCCAGAGAAGATGGGCCTGTAAAAGCCCATAAAGGCATTCCTCAACAAGAGGCAAGGCAGTCAGCAGTCCACTATGTTCCACCTGGGTGAGACAAGCCTGCAGAGATTCGAGTGGTAAGCCATCCTGCTGCTGCACCCTACTCATCCTCCATGTTTCCACTGACATGACCACAGCAGTCAACCAAGCAGAGACACAGCTCAAGCTAGTGGAAATGGATGACCAGAGATTAAAAGATAAGAGAATTTATGGAAGTGAATGTACAGTCTGAAGGCCTGGATTCCACCCGGGGACACAAAGTCTCTGATTCACGACAGGGATCCCAAAAGAGTCAACAAGAGTCTTAAGGTAACGAATGTGACCCGTCAGCAGGATTTAACCAACATAAAACACACATATAAACCTTACCGAGATCACACAGTACAGGCCACAAACTGAGGTGCAATATATCATTTCTGTCTGGAGACACAGAGACGCTGACAGATCAGTAAAATAAACAAAGCTGCTGCACATGCTCTGCATACCACCCCTCCAGTCTCCATTAAGCCACATGATGTAGAGCTGAGCTAAAGAAGAAATCTGTGGCTACGACGTGCATCGACTTTTCTGAGATGACTCATAATGATGGGGATAAATGCAGTTTACAAATAAAGTAATCAGGTGCTCTTTTTCTTCTTAGTTAATACAATCCTGGAAAGTAGATGGGGCAGTGCCACTTAAATGTTAATGTGCTGCACAATACTGACCTCAAGTGGACATCATCAAACACAGTACTATTTTTGTTCATTTCTATAAGATCCCATTGTAGATATTACATCAAATGATGAAAAAATAACATTGTGTGTGATTAAAAACTCCTTAGTGCAGTACCCCTCACTATCACTCTGCAAGCCAAGATTTAGTAATGTATAACTTCCACACCTATATTTCCAGGCTCCCAGTTGACAGTGTTACATTTTATAAACTTAGGAAACTTACAGTGTGTCTGTGTGTGTGTCTTGAGGTCATGTTTGAGGATGTTAGTGCAGAGCCTCCCTTGGTGTGGAGCCTTGATAAAGTATGGCTGCAGAGTCACGCCCTGTTTGATGCGCCCAGTATGTAGTGCTACTCCTTCATCTCCCTCTTGCTGGCAGGGCCGGTCTCACTGGCAGCAGGTCTCCTCTTCGCTGCGCTCAGCTGCCTTTACATCTGGAAGGATTGTTGTTACACTGAGGTGAGATTGACTTACAGGCAAGGATGAACCGCTAAACCTTTTTCTGGTAAATGTTGATCGTTTTGTTAAATGCAAAATGGTAACTACAATTTCTCTAAAACAGTTTCCTCCCCTTTTTTAGGAGTCTAGAAGTATTTTCTATTTGTCATTGGTGAGATGAGTCATGCTTTGTCCACTTCCCTGTGTCTCTCCAGGCTGATCATGCCCTGTGTGCAGCTCCTTCTTATCAACATGCACTGGATCCAGACTGTGTGGGGGCAGAATACTGAACATTCTCATCAGCCCCTTCTTTAACAGAACTGTAACATGCTGCGGTCGAATCACCATCCATCTGGCAACAGATAAAGGCAGATATAAAAACACAGTGTGTAAATGTATGATTAAAACATGAGCTATAGAAAAAAGCAGTGGTAATAGACTGCATACTAATTCCTTGCAGGTAAAATATAATCTGCATCATAATTGTCTGTGATTATTTTGGATGTTTTTAAACACGGACCCGGGAACTGATAATTGTGACATGACAAGTGTGGCCTGTGGAGAGAGGGGTAAACAGTACTGAAACTGTTCAATGCAAGAAAAAAAAACCCAATAGTAACTAAATTACAGAATTGTGCTGACTGTGAAGCAGGAGCAACTGGATGGACTAGTGAATATCTGTGAGAAAGGCATTAGTGCTGCAATAATATTGACACTGAAATAAAAACACTGTAAATATGTTAAGTGAAAATGATAATGACTTTCAACAAATGTCTTTCTGTCATTGAATGTGATATACCACTTCAATGCATGGTAATCATCATAATGAAAAAAATCATTATGCTGCAGGTCATAAAATAACAATTACAGCAATATTTTATTTAACATTATAAAATCCAATTTAACTTTAATTTTAAAGTTTACCAATCAGGGAGGGTCAAAAGACAAAAGACAACATTGAGTTGCATTATGGGACATGTCCAGCGTTTTTGGAGCTGGATTCATTCCAGCAAAATACAGGTGAGGATATCTCGATCTCTGCTGCTTCAAATCTGACAACTCTTTTTTTTTTTTTTTTTTTTTTTTTTAAATCTGTCTCTTGTGAGTCTCCTAACTTTACAGAACGGAAATAGTAAATCACTGGAGTAAAAATGACAAGACTTTATGTCTGCCAACAGTTGTCAGTCATTTTGATGCTCAGGTAAGGCTCTTACATTGCTGATTTTTGGAGGTTACTGAGAATAACTTTGAATATTAACCCCATGAATTACATAAACATTTGTAACAATTTACTGGCCCCAGGAATTAACCAGTAAGATAAACACATAATGCATAATAAATAATAAGCAATATTTTGTATACAGTATATGTCAAGAAAAACGCACTGACAACTGTTCATTAGCAAAGGAAGCGACACCTATATTGTAAACTACCCCGAGTTACTGATACCCACTCTACCCAGTGAATTCTACTATATAAATCTAAATATAGGTGTGAGAGCCCTGCCTGTCTGTCCACATTAAATGGAAGATAAGAGCTGCTGCAATCTCAGCTTGCATTGACACCCATAGAGGCAGAGGTATGCCCAACATGACTCTATGCTGAGCTATTTTTGTCCCTCTGCCTCCATACCTAACTGGCCTCTACTCTCTCCACCACCACACCAAGAATACTGCTGTAATTGGGCTCCTGATCACATGCGCTCTGATCCTGTTGCACCCCTCCCTCCTCGTTCCTGTCTCTGCCACCAGGGAACTGGGGCAAGGAATGCCAGACCAGGCTCTGAAGTCACGCTACCTATACTGTTCTTACAGCCCACTGAATGAGATAAATAGCAACAGAGAGCTGGGGTGCTATGAGCACTTGTACCACTTTTCATTGGGACCTCCTCCTCTTCCCCTCTTTTTGGCAGACTTTGTTTATGCAACACGCTGATATGGAAAGCTATGAGTGATAGCAACAACTGCACAGCTTAAGGAAGACTGAATCAGAGTTTTATTTTGGGGGACTATTGAATTTTATGTATTGGACCTCGCTACAGTCTATGCTACAATGCATGAGGAGGCTCAGGACCAACCTTGTGTGAATGTTTTCTATTGTGCACTATTAAGGCTGCGATTTAAATGACTGAGTCATTTCATTGTTAAGACTGAGATTGAGAAAATAAACATGTTAATTAGAGTAAAATAGCAAATTATATATTTTTATTTTCCTCCTTCTGAGTCCAAATGATTGAATTACATTTTCTTTCATGCCCATTGAGCTCATGTTCTATGCCATCGTTTCAACAAAGAAAAATTTGTACTTGCAAATGCAATATATTTGGTATGCAAAATAGGCAAATCTCTCCATACAAATTATCAACAAAATAATAGAGGCTCAATTTTGCAATAATTACGAGCTGATAAATAAAACCAAACCATCAGTTAATAAGCACAGCATCACTACTTTACAGCTGTAGGTCTACATTGACAGTAGGTACATTATAATAACAAAACAACAAAAAAAAATGTATGTAATGTTGAACAGTGTGGACATCAGAACTACACAAAGGTGACTTTGCCACCTGACTTAGAGCATCAGACATTATGAAAGAGTTGATGAGTGCTGGTTCAGTGAAGTGTGTTAAACTGTAAATCATGCCTGATTATGAAAGGTCATAATTTTGAAAATCCACATTACTCAGTATAATGCTGAGGAGTACAGAAATAACAAGGTAAACCCTATACTCGTGGTGACAATGGCAAATGTTTTATATATTGCATTGTTTTAGGTAAGTTAAGTCCAGTATTAGGGCACAAAACACTGTGTCGCAGCTAGAGCCAGAGCAGGAGGGTGTGTTTGTGCCTCACTCTGTGGTGGAAGTTCGTGCCACTGTGCAAACTCTGCCCAGTTAGCCCCACAATCCTATGTGAAATGTGACACAGCCCTGGGTTCTCCTTTAAGGCATACCTTTTCTGTCTGTGTGCACTACATTGTGTGTGTGTGTGTGTGTGTGTGTGTGTGTGTGTGTGTGTGTGTGTGTGCGCGCAGGGTGGGGGTCAGGCCTCCATTTTTACCAGGACGTCTGCAGCAGCTGTCCACTGGTATGTCAGCGGGAGCGTCACAGTGGTGATACAGGGGTTCAGAAGTGAACTGAAGCGGCTGCGTGCAGTTTGATCCAGGAAGGTTTACCCTCACTGTCTCCGGCCTGTCCAGGACCTGCAGCCCCACCACCATGGCGGATCAGTACCAGTACAACACCAACGAGGAGAAGATTGTGAAGGACAGCCACACCAAAGAGATCGACCTAATCAACAGAGACCCCAAGCAGATCAATGAGGACGTGGTGAAGGTTTGTGCAGCATGGAGACAACACCCTGTGACAGAAAGGATTTTGGCTTGTGTGGAAGCATGTGGAGAAAATGCATTATGTGATTGCTTGGAAATGAGACAGGAGAACAGGTTATTATATTGTCTGGAAACCCCCTAAATAGACCAAGAGCTATTCCTGTTGCCTGTGCAGAGCATAAAGTTTATTTTGGGAATGAGGTAGAAGAGTGTGAAACTGATACACTGTGCCACCATGTTTTATTTAGGTTATTTATCCTGTGATTGTTGCCATGATATCACAACAAAACATTCTCTGTAAAAACAGGGACTGAAGGCGGCTCATGTAAACATGTTCGATGATAGTAAACCATGAGTTATGAGTTGACCATAATGTTTAGTGTCTGCATGGTTCAGTTTGGAATGATCTACAGACGCGGTCATGTCTGCTTTCAGGAAATCATCAAGACAGCGGTACTCCTAATAGTCTAAACAAGCACCGACAGTTTTAATCCGTGCAATCATTTTCGGGTAACATTTCCTATACCTTTAAAATAAAGTAAATTGGATAGATCTATTGAAAGAGTTTCGCTAAATGTACCAGCTGTGGACCACATCTCTTATTTCTACAGAACACTGACTGTTCCTTTGCTGAATGGGACTCCAGCCACTCATTGAAAGGATGATCTCAGGCTGCTATCTCTGCTGGAAACGGACAGCAAGTCCTTACTTCCCATTCTGATCCTGTCCAGTGGTCTGGAAGAAAAGCAAGCTTTTTAGATGTGCAGTGTGTTTGCTTGCCTTGATTACTGGCAAGTTAATTCACATTTTATGGCTAAGTTTCAACTGAGAATGCGGTGGCACTTCTCCAAAACACCAGGTGGCACGCACTGAAAATGGAGAGCAAATTGGACCATTGTTGCTCTCATGCATTTTATACAAGGTGAACTTTGGTTGCTAAAAAAAAATGTGTTGGAATATAGCTTTTAGAGTGATTTGGACTCTGCATTAGAACCCACTCCATAGCTTGGCTTGTATGCCACTGCATTACATTATTTTTTTATTCTATGAAGCGCAACGAATAATTGGTTTCTCTGCAAAAATCTGACCCTTATACTCTGCAGCTTTCACAAGCATAGGTTTTCCACTTGACATTGGCAAGTGCATATAACTCGAGCCGAAAGAGGTCTGGTGGAGGGAGATGGATAAAAGTGGTGTGTCCTCACGGACGTGTATTAATGAAAGCCTCTTTTAAATTTCTTATTAGGTGGAGTTTGAGGACGTCATTGCAGAGCCTGACGGTACACACAGCCTGGATGGAGTGTGGAAGCTCAGCTACACCACCTTCACCGTGTCCAAATACTGGTGTTACCGCATCTTGTCTGCTGTCTTCGGTATCCCTGTTGCTCTGCTCTGGGGCTTCCTGTTTGCCTGCATCTCCTTCTGCCACATCTGGGCTGTGGTTCCCTGCATCAAGAGCTGTCTGATTGAGTCACAGTGCATCAGCCGCATCTACTCTCTCTGCATCCAGACCTTCTGTGATCCCTTCTTCGAAGCCCTTGGCAAGATCTTCAGCAGGGTGCGCGTAGTAATGCGCAAAGAAGTCTAAGAACTCAAACAGTAGTGTTTCTAGTATGATCGGATGAAGTGTGGTCTCTTTTTATACACCAGAAGCTCAGTCCTGGCATCTTGCTTACTTCTTGATACTCCTCCTCTTCCCTACATAACATGCTGTTCTCCACCCACCCGTCCTCAAGCCCTCAGCACTGAGTCCTGACATGCCTGGTGTGCCTTTTGCCACCAGAAGCTCTGCGACAGCTGCAGCAGGCAGCGTGGTTCTGTGACAGCTCTGGCACTCCTGGAGGGCTCCGTGCTCCTCACTGAGAGAGAAGAGGGCCGCTTGCCATGGGGACGATCTGTCTCCCCTCATTCATTTGTATCACAAAAAAATCTCAGATAGTGGCTTCTCATTCACAACAAATGAAAACAACTCCCCAACACTGCTGCACCTTTGGATGATGCTGGCTGTATGCATTGCATTTAGCTATCCTTAAAAGTTATGTTGATGCTGTATGTTGCTGTGTCCAATACTGTTTTACTTTGTATTGATTGAATTGAATTTGACACTTATATATGTAAACTTAACCTTATTAGAAAAAAACCCTAACAGAATGAAAGGAATTGAAAATGTCCAGTATTTCTGTCCAGTAATGTCTGATTTCTTTATGTATTCAAAAAATATATTCTGATATATTTCCCTCTTAATTTGTGATGACTCCTCAGTAACTGTGAGACTTTTTGGAGACTTGCAGATGCAGCTATGAAATATGTCTAAAACTGACCATGCAGATAATGTACTTCCTTTTATCAAAGTGTGACGAGTGGAATATTAAATCTACGTGTTTGCATATTTCAGTCAAGTAAATGTGAACAAGTATGGATCTAACTGCTGATGGCGTCAAGTAGAGACCTCTCTGTGAGACCAATTTTAATGTTCCACAGTGTTAATTTGATGTGAAAGAAAAGTGTACCGCTCTACCTGGAGCTCCGAAAACCTCCAAGATAAAGAGTGGTAGGGGGGAAACATGGGAAAAAGGGCGTGGTCTCAGGCAAGACTCTATATTCTGTTTGTTAAACGCGAGCACAATTAGGTTAACAAATTAAATATCTTATGGGGCGACATAATGTTTGCACATCCTGACATGAAAAATTTTGCTCCTACAATAACTTTGCTGCTATTGTGTACCTGCAGTGTAGAAAGGAAAATTATACATGGGCTGAAACTAATTTAAAGACACTTTACAATTAACGAAACTGTTGCACCGCTGTTTGATTGAAAGTATAGCATGTGTATTATTTCAAACTCTTTCTGAGAGGCACAGCTTACTTCAATCAACCTGGAGGCACTGACCTGGGAACTGTGACCCACTAGAGGTTGCTGTTGTATATCTTTCATGTTCTTCTTTGTTGTGTATGAGATCCATTATTGATGGTTCAGTTTCAGTTTCACCACACACTTTTTTGTTTATAACCTCAGTTTGTTTCTTTTGGTTCATTCTATTATTCCATAAGAGTGCTAGAAAATGTACAGTTAGAGTTTATATGAGCAGAAATAACACACTGGCTTAAAGCATTATTCTGATTAATGAACTGTATTAAACAGTGTAATTAGTGAGTAAGAGTGATTGATTTGCCAGACTACGTGGTCAAAATTCATTAAAAGATATCATTAAGCGCTTTAATCACTTTCATTTCGGCAGAATGTGTGCAATAATAACCAGATGATCATTTAATCTGAATTCAAATTGTCTCCATAGATTTCACATTATATCAAAATTAATAAGACATAAAGTACATGTGTATTTTCCTAATAGCACCTGCACCATATATGCACAAGGATGATGAATCAAATGTTTTATCCTCAAAAGAAAGTTGTCAGATTCAACATCAGTGAACTAATGGTGGTATGGTATTTTTGAATAAACTGAGCTTAGAAACTACAATACAGCGACAGTGAATGTAAAGAATGAATGTATTTGGTGTCACCAAAATACAGCAAATTCCCCACAAATACACATCTCACAATTTTATTTGTTTATTTTCTTTTTTTACCTTCTGCAAAGGATTAATTAAACTTGTGCAATTACAGACATACTGTGCAATACTGTACACATCATTGCCCTCCACAGTTATTGGCATCTTACTCATAATCTTTGATCATTAAATTCATGGCCTTTAAAAGATGTACATTACAGAATTTCTCCTGACATAAAATTTTCCACTGGAATAAGATTGTCTTATGAAACGTCACAGTGTTAAGGTTATAACGAAAGTAAACATAACCCCCTAATTGGACAGAAAAAATAAAGTGACTGTACTGCTGTGGCAGTACAGTCACTGAAGTAATTCACTGCTTAAAAAGAACCGTTTTGGAACATTAATTAATCCTGAATTCAACATTATAACAAAATTAAAGCAAAACCCATGCAATATAACAGAGTTGAATATTCCTGCAACATCTCTCCTGTGTCACATATATAATAATCCTCCTATAAAAGTGTCTGAGGCTCTAGTTTGTGGTGTAGTTGTACTTTGTTGTATTATGCATTATTACAGTGTAAGGTGGCACAGAGACAGAATATGAGGATGAGCTGAACAATAGAGCAGAAAAACAAAGTGCAAAGCTGAATCAACACCCATCTCACAGCGTCTCAACTAAAACTGAACATTATGGACCTCACAAACAGTTTTATCACAGCATATTGTGTTGTGTTGTTTTTATTGTACAGCGTTTGCTTTTATTCAGGCCACTCATCATTATTGGCGATGATTATTGATGTGCTGTAATTAAAATAACAAACCAAACACATCCCTAGACAGCTGATATTCTTGAAACATCTACAATGAACATAAAAGCAACTGGCTGAACAACAGCTTCAGACTCAATTAGACCTCCAATGAAGTTCTTCTAGAGCGAATTCATGGGCCAGTTTACATTTATTGTCACGTCCTGCAGGATAATGCGCCATGTCATGCAGCAGTTGTAGCGTCAACGTACCTCCAGAGACATGAGTCACTTTAGTTCACTTCAGTGACCTGCACAGTCTCCAGGTCTCAAGCCAGTAATGCACTTTGGGGCTGAGGCTGAACAGGATGTTCAAAGTTTCAATGTGCTGCCAGAACTTTGAAGGAACTCAGTGACGTTATTGATCCAGTGTGGACAAACATCCCTCTGGAGCACTTCCAGCAACCTTGCCAAGAATTTATTCAGCCCGTTCAGGAGGTGAACAGAGTTCTGATGAGTATCAGCTAGGTGTAGATAACAACATTGTCAGAGCAGTTTTGCTGCTTTCACTCTTTATTTGTTTTTAAAACTTTTTAAAAATCTTTACCAGTGACAGCCGTGACACCTCACATCAAACAAAAGCTCAAGTGACAGTTTACATGTACACAATCCATCGCAAATGTAACAAAGTGACCAACATGGTACACAATATTTACTACAGGTGAGCAATTTCCTCATAACAAAGACATGGGACAGGATCTGCAAGCTTTGCTGGAGACAACAACTGAATCAAAAATGTAGTTGGCCAAGAATGACAGGGCTTATCATGTTGTTTTTTTTAACTTCCTCTGCCCATGTAAATACATACTGTACAGCTAAAACAAGAAACATGTACAAACAAACAGACAAAAAGATTCAGTGGATTGCTCAGCTTGGTCAATTATTATCTTTTAAGCTTTCATTAACAAAATATCGCCCCTTAATTATAATCTGTTCAACATTTTTCTATTTCACAATTCCATTTACATTTTATACTGTAATTTACTGTAAATAAAAGAATTAAAACTTTTGTTGTTATTCCTCGTCTGGGCTTGAACAGCAAGCCTCGGGTCAAGAGGTATCTGAGGGAGCCGAACTGCTGGATATTTTATGGATGACGGCATGTGGGGGGGATTATGATGGTGAGTGATTATGTGGTGGAAGTCTGTGTGATGCTCCTCTGACTGCTAGTGCTCTTAATAACAAAGGTTGAGGAGTTGCTCTTATGACTGGAGTCAAAGTCACGCTCACAGCGGCACTGGGAGGACTTGAGGTAGCGAGCGGAGCAGCACAGAAAATTCTGCCTAAGATCCTGGAACAAATGCCCTGCGAAGCACATGTAGATCCAGGGGTTACAGCAGCTGTTGAGGCTGGCCAGCAGCATGGAGATGATGAAGGGCATGGCTACAGGAGAGGACAGAGAGAGGGACGTTACTGTGCTGTGACAACAAAAATGGAAGATTTATACTGTCAACCCAGGAAATTTGTCTTCTCTTGTGTTAGTGGGTGGCTGAAAGTTAATTTACGTCCATTGTTAAAAAGTTCAGTGACAAAATGTATTAATATGAGTTTGTGCACACAGGTTTTGTTTTGTGATTTTTTACATCTTTATGCCAATGCTTTTTAGCCATGCTAGCAATGCGGCTGTAGGTATGGAAATGGTCAGTCCACCACTTTTTCCCAGACTGAATTTTTTTTTCTCAAACTGCTGAATAGATTGCCATGAAATTTACTACAAAAATTCATGTCCCATTTTCATCAAGCAAAATATTAGTCAATTTTAAATTGTCCAGCACTTAGGCCTACATCTTCCTGACGCTTTGTCTTTAGAGCTAATTAGCAAATGCTAATTAATTAGCAACTGCTAATTAGCTCCAATACACTAAACTAAGATGGCTAAGATGGTTTTACATCAACATCAGCAGGTTAATATTTAAATTGTGAGCACGTTAGCATGCTAACATGTAGCCTCACGGAGCTGCTAGCATGGCTGTATTCCCTTTACTCATTTGCTATTTTCTGTCAATGTACAATCATTTCAATTACAAGTTTCAAGCTAACATACAGTTATGACTCTATGTTGGCTGGAGGAATTCACAGTCCTTGAACTCACAAGGCAAGCAACTTGATACCTTTGATGAAACTCTTTGTGCCAATGCATTTCAGAGCTTTGAGGAAGCTTGTGCTACTTGCACCACAAGGGTGAGAACACAGACAAATTGAAATGGTGACCTGTTCGAACAAGCAATAAAGAACTGATTTTGTCAAACGAAGAGCAGGACAAGTGGAAATGTTCCTCACACACTGTGGTGATACATCATGGCAAGTAACTCGCTGTAGCACATTAGATGACATTTACGCTATGTCAACTCCACCATCCAACTGACATTTGGCAAATGAGCTTCGGATTCATGCAATTGGTTTGTATCCTGTATTTAACCTCTTCCCCGCTGATTGCTAATCTAAAGCCTGTCAGCGCTCAATCGCGCAATTCTCATGTCGTCTCTAATGACGGTCCCTGAGCTCTAACGAAAATTGTTCAGCATAAATGATCTCTGGAAGGGCACAAAAGTCACAGACATGATTAATAAGAACTGATCATCAGCTATTAAGGGTTTGATTTATGAGAGTAAAACATGAGTTTAACTGAGTGTATATCATTCACTTACCCTTCTACTGCAGTGTCATAGGTTTTATAATATGCTTTTTAGTGAGTACTGCAATGTGATGCTTCAGATGAACATATGAAAATGGTAGAAGAATGTATTACGTACTGAACAAATGTGCAGGAAAAGGCAAATTTATAAAAACTATTCTACAGAAAGGCAGGGGGAAAAGCAATGTGTGAATTACACAAACTTTGCATACATCAGTTTCCTTGAATATAGATTAGGGAGTAACGCACTTCATTGAAGATAATGCAAAAGACCAGATGGTGGTTATCAAGCATTTTTATCAGGGTAAATGAGAGCACAGCCTGTGTCTAATTTGAATAACATTGGGAACTATCATTAAAAACTCTCCACTGAATTAACTCACGGTGTCTTCCACAAGGGAATGATAAATCACACAGCCAATGAAAAGGCAGGATAGTCATCCCCTGGGTGGTACATCTGTCTGACTGTCAGAGCTGATACTGGCTAGTCCAAAAGACTCTTCAGCAATTCATTAATGAGAATTTTACATGAAATGATATTAATAAGTAAAACTGTTTTGAAAGATCTTTCCATATGACACTGTTTTGTTTGTGAAGACACTATATAGAAACTGACCTTTCAATTTTTTTTTTTACACTTTTAGATTGAACAGTGGACTTTGTGTCTGTCAAGCACTTAATGCAAATCAATAGTACTGTGAGCGTGAGTCGGTGTCCGAGAGCACCAGGCTCAGCAGGGGAAGATGTTTGTGTTCAACAGATTTTTTTTGGGAGTTTTTGTGAGTGTCTGAGTCAGGGTTTAACCTTCAGGTGTTTTTGTCCTCTACATAATGAAATCTGTCTGGCTGTTAAATGTGAAATCACACACGGCGCCGATGTCCCTCTGACAAAGCTTAGAGGAACGGGGTATTTAACCATATTCTGACATTTCCAAAAATCGTATTGATAAGCCTAATGAGGTGCTAAAGACGGAAAACTTCTCTGAAAGCTCCCGGCTCTTTCACAGTAAATTCAAGCTGCAAGATGTAATGAATCAATCTCAGTCGTTTTTACGAGGAACTCGGAGGTATGATGCACTTTGGTGCTTTGTTCATGCACTTTAAAAATGAGTGATTGGCTTGATGACAACATTGTATCTAAAGGTCGAAATTTCATAGACCAAAAGGATGTGGGTAGGCTACTAAATCACTGGTCCAATTTTGGTTGAAGTTGGTTAAAGGAGTACTTTGACATTTTTTTGACGAGATTTAGATGAGAAGAATGACGCCATATATGATGCCACAGTCAGTTGCCAGTTATCTTAGCTTAGCATAGAGACTGAAAACAGATAGCCTGGCTCTGCCTACCAGCACATCTAAAGCTCTCTGATTAACATGTTATATCTCATTTGTTTGATTCATACAAAAGCCGAAGTGTAAAAACAAAAATGCCCTGTTTTACAGGGGGTTGTTGGCTGGACTTTTTCAGGTAACTAGCGGAAAGCCAAGGAAGTTACAGGTCCTGACCAAGAAATAGTCTGGGCAAAGCCTGAAATGTCTTTGACCGGAACCAGGCTAGATGTTTCATGTGTTTATGCTAAGTTAAGTAACCAGCTGCTGGCTGGTGCTTCATATATACAGTACAGCAGAGACATTTGTATCAATATTCTCATCTAACTCGCAAAACAACGAAAAGAATAAGCATATTTCCCAAATGTCAAACTATGAACTTGAACAAATTATGCATCTGGTTGTCCAGGGGGATTTCTGACTCATTCATAGCAAAGGACATGATTGCTTTAGCAATGAGACAGGGTGGAGCAAGTGCAGGAGTCTGCATGTAGAATCAGGCAAGAAACTAATGCTTGTCTCTGTCTCTGCTAAGAGTGGCCTTTTAAAGACGCACCGCAATGTTTTATGTTGTAAATCACCATTTATCTTGAAGCATAAGCTTGACTAATGTTGAAAATGGATGATAAAGACGTGTTTATAAGGTGCGTTGCAGAGGAAACCATGGCAATAATAATCCATGATGATGCCAATCACGCAGAAACATACAGTAACAATAGACTTTCTTCTGCACCATAGAAAAAAAACATTAAGAAGTGAAAAAAAATCAGTATGCATGACTGTTTTATGAATGTCTCACATAACATATTATGGATATATTCCATGGTAAAATAAAAAAAAGAAAAAGAAAAGTGTAATGTGGCCAATGTATGATTATCTGTATTTGAGGCTTGTTACCTAAATATTTGTCCTCAGTCTGCAGGTTACCTGTCATAGGCATTGATAAGCATTAATAATCAGTTTTACTTTGTATGATCCTCACTGATAATCTTTCACTGCAGTACAAACTGTTTTAAAGGCACAGCCTGTGATTACCGGCACCCACACAATCAACATTTAAAACAAATGATTAAAACCTGTTTTCACCTCCAAATTGGCAATTTACATCTACAGAATCTGGCCTATTAAACGTATGTTTTCTGAAACTGTTTATGGTTTGTTTACATTTAGTTCATTGATGTTTGAAAAAAAATTTTGCAGCATGATCAAAGAGCTTCCTCCTCTAAGCTTTTTGCTCTGGGCTCATTTTGCTGAGTATTACTCTAATGGACACTTTATCTCCACAGACACAGGTGACACTCCAGTCTATCTTTTGTACACAAACACGGGCACGTGTCACTGCCAATTCTGGCCTTTCTGAGTGCTGCTCACGTGGAAGAAAGCCATGAGACATCAGCACTCATCCAGGCTCTGCAACAGAAAATGAATTAATCACTTTCTTTTCCATTCACAGGCTGAGGCACTTTTGCTGCTCTTATCTTGCTCCTCTAACTTTGACTATCGTTAGGAGATGTACCTTCAGAGCCCATCGCTGTTGTTTCATCAGTGCATCAGGCATATGGCTCCTCGGTGTTGAAAAATTGGCTGACAGCTAAGTGTATTGTGCAGCTGTTTAGCTTCCAAAGTGTAAATAGCTTGTGCGAACAACACAGCTTGAGGAGAATGACAGCTACTCGCAATCATTCAGCTGGAACCTTTTACACAAACCCACAGAAGCAAAGAAAAGAACTGAGGCCTGCAACACCAAAATCTGTTCACTCTCTTCTCACCAAGAAACTTCCTGACATTATTGTCTTATTTTTAGCATCCATACTATTTGCTTTATTTCAGTCTGTTTTAGTCAGATGAACTACTATTTACGCCACAATTATAAGTGATGGAGACTGTTTGAAGAACAAGTTTTGTGTTGTCTTTGGAGAAATAGAGACACAGACATTATTCCTCGAATAAGTGGCTCTAATTAGATTTACATTTTCGAGTAGAACAAAAGTTCCCAACAAACAGACACATTATAGCTGTCAAATTAAACAGGGTAATACATATTTGTGCCTTCTCTACCCAAATGTAATGAAAGAATGAAAACACCACAGAGGTCTTCAGTCTTTCAAATGTGCAAATGCATTGTGAAGTCAAATCGGTACATTTGCGGTTATATGGGTGTGGCCACGGCCCAGCAAGTCGATCGATGTAGGAAGCATATAGTAGATGGCCGCTTAGTGGCCCATCGTGGTTAAATGTCAAAGACACACTCCAACGTGCCTCACAGGCACAAATAAGAGCTGCTTGGCGCGCGGTGGCGCACGCTAATTAGATTAATGATTAGCCGTCAGTTGGTCTCTGCAGCGTCAGGAAGGTCAGAGGAAAACTTGGAAATCTGGAACTTGGAATCCTGTTTGCAGCTTTTTTTTTTCACTCAGTCATTTTTTTTCTCACCACACAGCGAGTGTGTATCAGTCAGTTTTGAAATGACAGTTTGTTGTAATAATGTGTTTCTCATTTTGCTGGTGAGGCCACAGGGATTATGGACTGTGTCTATAAACTGTGTGAATGCTATAAGGATAATTTTTTCGTTAAAATCGCTAAATTCTAAGGGAGAAATATTAGAAAACACGCATTCACCCATTCACTGATGAATATGCAAAACCAAGAAAATGTGGAAAACAGAGTAAACACGGCTCAAAATAGTGTTTTAGTTGCCTCAGTTTACTGAAAGTGGATGATCAAGCGCTCGCATCCTCGCGCGTAAAGAGCACTGATGCGCACAGCTAGAAGGATGAGACACAGCCTACATTAGAACATTTCCAAACCTTTTCACCCATTAAATTTGTCACGAACACTGTTAAAGGAAGGGGTCGAAAACTATAAGTATGTTAAGTGTGTGAATTATTATGAATATATTATGAGCACATCAGCCTTTGCGCACTGGCGCGCACTCGGTGTCATATTTAAAATTCAACCTACCCTCACGAGGCGCTGCTGGATCCCACGCAGACCACATCTGAACAGAGAAAAAGGGGGTCCAGCAGACGATATAAGCCAGGACGATGACAAAAGTCATTTTCACAGTGGTTATCTTCGCCTTGGAGATTAGTTTAACGCTGCTCACGCGGGCCAGTGTGTTGCCTTTGGAGGTTTTGGGCGTCAGGCTTATACACTGCTCCCGCCTGGTTTTCAGTTTAAAGTTTTGCCATATTTTGAAGCTTATCAAACCATAGCAGATGCTCAGTATTGCCACTGGAATGATATATATGGTGAGGCTGATCCATGTGATATAAGCTTTGGCTCCCCAAGGCTTCACGAAGTCGCCCCAGCAGTCATACACTCCTGATCCGGCCGAGCCAACCTCTGTCAGGGAAAAGATAAACATCTGCGGGATACTGAAGAGCAGGCTCAGGACCCAGGAAAATATGACATAGAAACGGTCTTTTCTTCTGTGCAAAGAACGAAGGGGCTGACAAATTGCCAAACACCTGTCTACGGACATCAGAACTAACATGTAAGTGGACGCGAACATCCCAACGACCTGCAGGTATTTCACCAATCTGCACAAAATGTCCGGTCCATAGAAGCGAAATGTAATGTCCCAGATAAGTTGAGGGAGAACTTGAAATATGGCTACAACTAGATCGGCGATGCTCAGGTGCTTCATGAAGTAATACATACGGGACTGGCTGTGTTTGGTGGTGTGGATGGCCAGCAGGACGCACAGGTTCCCCGCCAGCGCCAGAAACAGCACCAAGGCGAGCACAGTCACCTCCACCTTCGCTACCTCCTCATTCCGCTTCAGAGGATTCGTCTGATTCGACCCACCCGTACCGTTAAGGAGACTTGAGTTCCTCCAGGATTCGTTGAATTGCCAAAAGTCACTTTCATTAGAAATACTTTCCATTGCCGCAGTCTTGTCCCTCTGCAGATGCGTCAGAGTTGTGCAGTCATGCAATGGCTGGAAGGGGCTCCTGGGGGGTCTTAAGTGATAAACTCTTCCCCGTGTCCTCACAGGTGACAAGACGAAGGATGAGATATGACGAAGCTCAAAACATGTTTCTTCAGTGATAAAAAATAAAGGATTCACTTTTTGTTGAACCTCAATCACCCATGCTTTCTAAAGCCAGAAGACGCATGAGTCCACAGAGGAGAAAATGCTTCTCGTTCTCTAAACAATATGAAGCATTTGATAAAATGTGGGCCCTAGAAAAAAAAGTAAACCTAAGGTGCAGAAAGCTTCAGTGAGGACACACAAAACAGTAAAACTAGGGTCTAAAATACGCGAGTAGTGCGCCTCACTGGTCAATGGTAAGTCTCCAAAATCATAGTCTGGGTAAATCCAAATAATTAGCAGGGTTCTGGTCGAGCAAAAATATGTTTGCCTTCAAAATCAAAATCAAAATCTGAAAATGAAACAATCAAAATGAAAAGAAGATGCTGCGGAGGCTGAAAGCCCCATCATCATCTCTGGTAAGAGTCGGAATGGCCAGAGCTACAGCACCTAAGACTCTGTTGTATCTGTCCCCTCTCCAGTAATAACACTAAATAGTCTTACCCATGACCACCCCTAGGTGGCGGTGTGAGCCATTCATCAAAAACCTCCCTTTCCTACTCTGCAGCTCAGAGCCTCAGCCCTCCTCAGAGCATGAACCCCCAGATCTGCCGTGAATCTCATTTTATAAGCAGCCAACCTCATCTGAGAAGATTGTTGTTGTCAGATATGACATGATGTACATTTACAAAGCTGCACACACTGATGGAGAGATGACCCCGGCTGCACAGTGAAGCCTGTGATGAAATCTGGGGAGCAAATGACACTCAACATTTTTTCTGGAGGATTGCAGTAGTTCTGGAGGAACTCTAAACTCAGTATGTTTTGAACAAAGTTTAAATAATTAAATATTGCAGGCATAATTAAAACTAATTATTAAGGGGATGTGCATGAAAAGCACACAAACATAGTTTCTCGTGAAACTGCATGATCAGTTTTTATAACTCCAAAGGAACAAAAAACGGACAGATCAAAGAACATTTGGAAACAGTTCTTTTCTAAACCACTATTAAAATTAAAAGCGCTCAATAGTGGATGTGATCAAAGCAACACTGAAGCTCATTTAGCGATTGTGAAAGAGAGGATGTATTTGTTGGCACATAAAGTATTTGAGCCATAAGCTTTTCCAGGAGAGGCAGACCAAAGAAAGCCCTGCACAAATGTCCCTAGAAAATCACCCTAGGTGCTGTCAGCATATCTTTTTTATGGTCCATATCAAATGGCATCTTAGACTTGATTCATCACTCAGTCGTTTAAAGCTCTGGAAAAATCTTACTGAGTTACAGAGGATTCAGGCAAACTGTCCAAGTTGACAAGAATGACACATTCATTTTCGAAACAGTCCATTATATTGTACTGATGATCATCGGGTTATTATAAAAGACAACAAGTGGTAATGATTAACTGCTACCCTCCTACACATGGGAAAGAATGAACAACCGTATGAAGTCGAAATTTTATTGGCAGTGGTGTGTGATGACTATGTTAAAGTCCATCTGCTACATTCCAGTGATTCCTGTGAACACACATTTCTTCCCTCTGTCCATTTGTGCTGTGGAGGTGCACTGCTGCTCCACTGGAATTCAGGGATTTAAATTGCAATTGTGATTATTATTACTTAATGGATGGGGGTGATGGTGTAACACGCGATAAGAATTTCAAGAGCATGAAAACTTGAATGGATGAAACTGGACATGGACAAATAACAAGGAGCGTGAGTATGAAGAAAAACTAACCTCCATGCTTGTCAGTTCTGCTGCTTCCCTGTGGCACAGAAATGATATACACCATAAAATATGTAACACCACGCACTTTGTAGATGATGACCATTAGTAAATAGGTGTGTTGCAATATACCGGTATTGATAACTGAGATATTTATAAAATGAAATATTGATATTGTGCTAATAATAATATAATAAATATATAAACATATGAACGCCACGGCAGATGCATTGTGGATCTTTTGTTTATCAGTTCATCTGGTTGCCTTTTAACTTTCTAATCTATTAAGTGTCTACATATTGTGATATATAATTATCTTTTGACAATAATTGTGTAGTGAGAATCTGATATCCTGAAGTACTAAAACTATATACTCATTCACTTTTTCATGCTTGTGAATTTAGGAAAATGGCAGAGCAGTTAGAAGTATTTAAAAGTGGGATTTGTCTGCTACCGTGCAGCTCTTTAAATTTCCAAGAACACAGAGTCACAAACCCGGTGGGAAAAGGCCTCTGGTCACATCTATGCCAGAGAGTCATTCTCCCATTTTGTGGCTTTGGGTTTGGAAAATGATAGATCCACTGGAATTTCAAAGCAGTAACATGAAGACTGCAGATGATGAAACACTGACTGGAAAGTAAGAAGACAAGGAAAAAGAAGAATAATGAGACATTACAGCTAATGATGTGACTTGTGAACTTGTCCATCACGTGTTGAAGTTAAATGTCGGAACTCATACTTAAAAGTCATTATAGTATCATTACAGTGTTCCAAGTTGAACCACTGGCTCTTACCATTACGTCTGGAGTTTGAGGGCAACTTCCTGGTAACTGGCTTTAAATTGGCTGCAGGAGTTGATGAGGAGCACCTGAACACAGCTTCAAATCAGGTCTGCATGAGGATAATGTTAAACCTTTTTTATTTGTGGAAGAAGTGGAGGTTCAACCTGGTCTCCAGCCCCCGAATCATGGTACAGGTATAGCGTCAGATTAGGGTGTCCTATAGTGCATTGAATAAACACCCAGCATTCGATCTTTGGAGCTTTGGTCAGCTTTAGTGAAGGACAAGTACTGAACCATCCAAACGGTGCCGCTGATGGATGGAACTTCTTGTGGAGTATTGTGAATTCAGGTGAACAGGTAAACAGCATGAGGTCTGGCTTGAGGTTTCTGCTGACGGATTAAAGGGATAGAAAACTGCGACAGTCGAGAGGGGTTTTGGAAGACAGGAAATCAGAGAGAGAAGTCCAGGTTCCTTGCGGTGTGAGCATGAACTATCACTGATCACTGAGTGAAAGTAAAACAAAATCACAGACGGAAAAAACAATGCTCGAGGATTTCCTGATATTAATGACATTGCCGGAGTAAATCTTCAATAACTATTCCGAGGGATTTATATAATATCAGGCCCAGTTCAGAGTGATGAAGGAGAAGATGGTAAATTAAAATCTGCAGACATGTAATGTTATAATTTAAAATGACTCCAGTGAACATCAAAAAGTCAGCAATTTTGGAGCGTACTCATGGCAGACTGGTCTGAGGTGGTTACCACACTGTGTAATCACCCTGGTTCGATTCCAGCTGCGGACCTTCGTTACACTTCATCCCTGCTGCTCTCGCTCCACATTTGCTGTCTGTCCCGACTGTCGGTACTGGCAAATAAAGATGAAAAGGCAACAATTTGGCTACAGCCTGCTAACTTACTAGCATATCTAACTGCATTTTATTTTTACTTTGCATTATATTACTCACCATATAACAATTAATACTATATACCTTGTATATTCTTATACTATATCATAGTGTTCTGCTCCATTTCTATATACTTGTATTGTGTATATTACAAATACCGCACGTATACTGCATATGACATTAGATGCTTCGTTATATTATCGTTATTACATAAGTATATAGAGAGTTTAAATATCATGGCACCAGAGTAACCCTGTCCTACTCAACTTATTTTGCAGAAATACTTAAATAATAATTCACTTAAATAGATATTGTATGTAATTTCTCTAATTTCTTATTTATTTCATTTTAATAGGTCTTTAACTGCTGTCTTACCTCTTAGCCTCAGTGCTGCTGAAACATGTGAACTTGCCCTCAGACATCAATACAGTCTTATAGTATCTCATCTTATATGTTTAAATACAAAATGTATGATGGAAGACCTCCTCTTGCAAGCAACTAATATTTAAATAACAAACACCATGAACCGATCTCAGTCAGAGTTTTTTAGGGAAAGTTCCCGTGAGCTGACAGATGTTTGCTGTTTGTCCAGTCATACAGCTGATATGGCACTGGGACTGCTGCATCCAGCTTTATTAAAATTAATCAATCTGGTCTTCACTTCTCCATCTGCTGAGACCTGTGCAGCATATGTAGCCCACCCCCCCCAACTGATTCCAGTGGCTCAGCAGTTCTCTGTACCATTCCCACAGATACCGGGCTTTGAGTTGACAGATCTAATTAGAGACGAGGTTCAGGCCCAAGCTCCTGATGAAGTAAGATACAAAGGATCTGCACGCTAATACTTTTGGCTCCTGCTGCTTATGTAGTCACTCAGTACATGAAATTCTCAGCCTCTGAGTGATCTTGTGTCATGAGGTGCATATAAGACGTAGACCAATGCACTGTGAGGTGCTGGATGCTGTCACTCCTGGCGCAGCGGTGCATGATATATTCAACATGCTAATGTCACTTGAAGCACTACGATGTGCTATTAGCTTCACAGAGGAGACGGTGTTGGTGTTATCTGAGATTATAGCCACATGTTTCAGAGGTTTGCAAGTTTAAAGTGACACATGTGACTTTTGAAAGCAGAAATAAGTTTAACGAGCAGTAAATCACACACTTGCTCATTTTAACACATTCTATTACAGCCTTACCTGGTCTGGTATGACCAGTAGTTTGTGATGGCTAATGTTAGCTAATGTTAGCAAACTTTTGATCGATATTGCTGGATAACTTTCATTAGTGAGTCAGTTTGCATGTGCTGCTGTAGCTACATTTTAGCATTTCTATTTTAGCACTGGCCTATTATCGTGACTTGTGACCAAAGTGGCTGCTGTGCAGCAAAAGTTAGATAGTCTTGCTTAAAAGATTTGAGTGTAAACAAGTGACGTTCAGTCATACATCACACCAGCTCGAGACATATCTCACTCAAGCATAGAGTTGCAAGAGTTGCAAATGTATTGCAAACGTGTTAGACAATAATGCATTGAGAGCTCTTCAGGTGGGCCTCACTCAGAGAATGCCCTGCTTCATTACAGGAGCTTCCTGAGTTCCTGTTTGGCATCTCTTTCTTTTTTAAAGTCAGGATCTAAGACAGCTGCTTCCAAAACAATAACAGGATAAGCCCTCCTGTGGTGCGCCTGGAGAAGTTGCTTATAACCTATGTGGCTTTGCCCACACTGAAGGGCATTTACAGGAAGTGGCATTGGATCTTGAATGAAAATAAAACAAACAACTCAACAATACCAAAATACCTCATGGCTGTTTTATGTTTGTGGGACAGAACAAACGTTTGAGCCAATGTAGCCACCCGTTAATCATATTTGGCCTGATGGAAAAAAAACAAAAACTGATAATACATGGATGGCTACAGATGACTCATGCCACAAAGGGGCAAAAACTGGAAAATTGGGCGAACATAGTGGTAAGAGATGTGTTATTGTAATTCACTTT